TGATAGAAGAACAGGGTCAAGTAGCGTGTTGCACGTGCGTCCAATTCTAGTCGGTCTGTCGATAACGTTTGTCAGGTGGTAAAAATTTATAATGTCTAGAAGAGCATGGTTATTGTCAACAGTGAGGAGGTCAACATTTATATCCCCTACGATTACAACAAAGGGAGTTTCATTCATGGCTGTTTCCAGCGAAAGACGAGTTTTACATGAGATGTATGTTGAGTGCATGAAGTTGTACATCAGTAAAATGTGTATCTACAAATATTTAAACCTGGTCGGATAAAAAAAGCTTTTGAGACCAGTGTTCATCAGAGTAACTGACCAGACGAAGAAGACAGAACCATATTTTAGTAAATGCCGCACCATGCAGGATGTGATGGCACAGCCAATAACACGATCGCTGCCAACGCGTTATCAAAGAGTTTATATATAAGATTTGTATATACGATTTTTACACTGGGGATGATCGGCCTCTCCAAAACATTGGGCGTACGTCTGGTCCCCCAGGGTATAAATACCATAACACCGACAGACAGACCAATCACCTTTCATCATTTCCACAGGCTTAAATAACGAATTTGTAGTCCGGTTTCCGGTGATCAAGTTTCTCCGGGTTATTTTGCTTACATCGAAAGGGGTGAAGGCAAGGGCGATATTGATAAAAAGGACTACGTACAGCAAACCGCTGATTTATACAGGAAAACGGAGTCACTGATATTGTAATGATGCTACAGAAAAATATCTTTGATTCAAGATGGAAAACAAACGCTAGACAGTAAACAGTCTTTTACTTCCGGTGCAATAAAAAATCTCTTTTTGACATTCTGATTACTGCATTTCTTTATAGATCGCCTCACCACATAGAATGTCATTTTCCAAAACGACTTGCACATTTTGATCAAACATACAAATTGTATTCATAATTTATAACCTTGAAAAAAATCAAAACGTTGGCTCCCCGGTCCGCCTGGCAGGAAATGACACGAATTGTATCCGGCTAGCATTGCCTCAAGACAGATGACCGGAAATAACGGATGGGCCTCAACAAAAAAAGGTCAATGCAGTATGTAACGCTTGACCACACATTGACACAAATTAATATATATATATATATATGTATGATTGAACTTGCACCAATTTGCGCATACAAAGACTGTATACGATTTGTACGAAGTAAAGTGTATAATGATTCACATTAATATACTTTTTGAAGCTGAATGGTGTATAAGCTTCAAGAAAATCATTACTTGATATTTTTTGTTGAGATCATAAAGATTGCATCTGATCAGATTTGACACATATTGAATTTGAAAATATGAATATGGTATGTAGGCCAAATATCGAAGATCGGCAAGATACGATGGAAAATTTGAATGAAGATTGAGGATAGGGCTAATCGTGTATGTATGAAATATCCTTTAAGACTTCAAAACCTTCCCATGTGTGACGTAACGTTATTTTCTGTCTGATTCTATCCTCGATGACGTATGTAGTTATCTGTTGTGAGGGTGTGTTCGATTTAGGAAAACGGCATCTACTCTCGTACACGATAAGATAAGGCACAAAGGATAAATATGTAGATTTTACATTAAAGATAAGTCTTACACTTATAGCATATGCATGCATATACAATGTATACATACAGCATATCCGTTTTGGCTGTTGAATCGTTTTACATCATCAGACATTTTTGACTATCGCATACGGTATTTATAAAAACAGAGACGTATATATTGCAATAATAAATAATATAATTGTAATATATACGTCTCTGATAAAAAGAAACTTGTCATTTGTCCTTTACTCGGTTTTCTTTTTAGGAGGACAAAGTTCTTGTTTATTTTTGTTTAGCTTGTTTTTCCGTATGATTTTTTTTTATCCCATTTATACTATCCATTATTTTTAAATGTATACTCATAAAAACAAACATCGGGAAAAGATGCAAAAGAATAATTGGATTTTCTTATTTTAAAACACGTTTTTTAACAAACAGGCAGCGGGACGCTAAAGTGTTTGCTTTTATCTATTGATCATCGTACGATTAACAAGGAACACGAAACTGTCATCAGTGTGGTTATTTAACCATATTTAGTGCCCGTGGCAACAACATTTTGTATCTGGAAGGAGAAAGAGTGTACAATAGGAAGTAGTCGACATATAAGAATTATGATTAAGCAGAGTTATCGCCCCTCGATACCAATGTCGGTACAACGATAGCTCGTCAGATGGACCATTAACCGACAGACGACAAGGAGGGGGCTGGGCTTTTATTTATTTTTATTTTATTTTATTTAATGCTTGAATAGGGGGCGGGGCGGCAAACGTCACGCCGTCAATCAGTGAGTGTCACATCGTCATTGTCCAATCGTGAAGAATCCCTTGGTTGTCATGAAACCGGATTGGATAATTGTATGTGGCTACGAATGAGACACCTGTCAATCATCGTTTGAAGTGAGAAACTGTCGTGCTGATTGGATGACTTTTCAATGACATGCCTAAGGCGTATACTTCCAGTGTGTTATTTGGATATTTTTAGGGAACAAAATGGTTACCTATATTTAATTGAATAACAAAAGCATATCCGCGTTTCAGGTAACAGGGTATACATACGTAATGAGATAAGCATTTACAGATATTATATAAAGGTAGGTATTTTTAGTTTTATTTTATATGGGTCCTACTATCCTTATTTAGGCATTATTAAGTCTCATATAAAGCAACTGTATGATATAAGGCACCACGATTTCCATTTCAATTATGTTTTTTTTACAACATTTATCAATCTGATTAAAATCATCTGTTACATGGCTCCGCCTGAACGAAGGCGTTGTACGAAGTTAACGAAGCCATGTAACATATGATTTTAATCAGATTGAACATTTATAAGACAAGTTTTATTTTCGATTAATATCGATCACTTTTGGCCCGGATGATGAAAGCGCGCACCGGTGGTAGGAAACCAGTGTACCCGGAGAAAACCAACGTGTTCGGGCAGAAGAACTACACATATATATATGTATATATATCCTTTCACATCCAACAGAGGAATCGAGTTCAGGTCGTCTTTGTGAAAGAGGAGTGCGCTATCCAGTGCGTCATCGGAGCATCATAATTTAGTCGACATCGGTCACATTTTAATGACAACGGGCCAAATTAGAGAGCCCAATGTGTGTTAGAGTTAGCGACCGTTTTTTTCCGATGTCTCTTAAGCACAAGACACCCCAAACCCTTTTGCAAAAGAGGGATGGGTGCCTCATAAGTCGACGCATACGATCATGTGGTGGCCTACATCTAGTCCACTCGCTGTCCTCGTTCACTGCTCTCATTGACGGGGTTCCGGCTTATCTTTATCAATTTCCTAGGGGGATTGTTTCAACTATGATTGGTTGGTGTTCGAGGGGGAAGGGCGACTCGGTGAATGTATTCAAATGAACAAGAAGTATGATAATCTGTCCAATATTTCGTTCAAAAGTTGTGACATCAAATTGATTGGGATAGGCTGTAACCACTCCAGAATAAAGTCCACACATGTATCAGTCTTTGATCAAAATGGGGATAGGCTAATTGTAGAAACAAACCCGGTGACATGAAATTATCTGGAATGACATGGCATTATTACAATTTTGAAAAAAGTCGATTTAAAAAATATTATTTTTGATCAATTGAATGGATCAATATTTAGACTTAAACAATGAATATGATATAAATATATAAATAAAAATTATAAAGTAAATGGGTTATAAGGTTATAAAGCGTTGGCGTCCTGTAGCTAGGGCTCTAGTTCTCACGAAGCCAGACACTTACACTCTCGAGTGGAGTTTCGAGTGGCGCTGATATTGTAGTGTCACCCCTCCTCAACACAGGACAATGACGACAACGTTAGCCACAGTAATAATGCTTACTGACAATAACAGCGGTGGTCGTTATGAGGGTAATGATGTCACTTAATGATGCACGATGGTGATGATGCTGCTGCTGCTGACGAGGAGGAGGAGGAGTGACATTTGATCTGATAAATATAGATTGTATTTCATTAAAAGAAGCGCGAAGTATAATACAAGATTTCATATAGCTGATTAACCGTTGTCCTGACAAGATATAATTACCAAAGTCTCACGTAAACGAGAATAATGTTCAACAGACTTTACATACTTAAGTTTTTATTTCATCACATTTTCAGTCTGTTAAATAAATGGAAAACTATAGGCACATTACTCGGATTTTTTTTTCATCCTTATTTTTTCATTATTATAATTAAAAAATATAATCATGTCCTCAAAATATGACAGGTTCATCATCTCGGACATATTTATGAGAGGAACCTGAATTTAAAATTTCACTTGGAATTACAAAGATATTATTAGTTTTTCAAGCTTCAGTTTCTAAAGTAACATGTATTTTTTAATTGTGAACACTCATTTTATTAACGTATTAATTAGAGACTCAGCGTATGGTTTCTTTCAAGAAGCTTTATGGACAAATGTCGTATGGTAGTACCGGTTTCTTGTGTTTTGTTTCTATTTGCCATGGGTGTTGCATAAAATTGATTTATTACACATTCTGCGTATTATAGCCATCATAAGTCGACGCCGTGCCTTTATTTACGCAACGAGAGGCCTACTTACAAATTCAGCCCGGTTCGTCAAGTTCATTGAATGATTTTCTTAATTTTCATTAATTTGTCACGTGATCATCTCTATTTTCCATATATGGAGCTAGTTGTATTACTGATAATGTTGATTGTTCTATCCCATACTGTCGTTGAGCCCATCCATCGACCTGTGTATTATATAGGCTACACCGAGCGAAACGGCGAGATAGCTGTATAGTTCAGCCACATGAATGAAAACATACCACGTGACTTAATCCATCCCACCCCCACATCCAAATGGATTAGCCCAGCGGAAGTCGTACGAACCAGAAGAGGTCAAATGTAGTGTCGAATTTCAATGTATGAAGACCTTACAGGGATTTTAGCCGTAAAGGTAAGGTTTTGGTGATAAATTTATATCTTATCAACGATTTTACAACTTACTTAAGTGCATTGTGTTGTAATTTTTGGAGGTAACGATGTATTTACGTGTAAAACGGGGCGATATGGACGAATGATGAAGCGCTTTCTTCCATTCATAATTATCAGTCCGGCCTAGTGCTGCATTCGTTAGTCGGCAAATGTGGGAATCGGGATCTGCCATCTGATGTTCAACTGCGGAATACACTTTGTTGGAATATCTAAACTGACCGTGGATTATGCAAAGAATCTTCACATTTCTATGGATTTAGAGAATCATTTTAAAACGGGAACGTGCAATGTGGTGTTTGTGGTTTAACTGAGGCAGACGACCATCGATTTTTTGCTGTTTTTCCCCGTCGGGAGCGCGGGGCCCATCACGTTTCTCTGCCGACTTCCTGGGTTCGCTTTGCTGTGATGTGGGTGTGTATGTTCATAGTACAGTGTAAAAGCATCGGATTTATACCAATATTACAATTCTTACACTGAGATATACGACATATTTAAAACCACGATCGCTTCAATCCAGGAAGTTGAGTGCTGACAAAATTGTTCCCGGTTTATCAAGATTTATATGTGATGTGGCAGTCGAGAATACAACGTTGTTTCTCGCAGCAGACTGGATTAATGAAAACGAAGGATGTAGATAGTTAAAGAGGACACCTTCGGAAATATATTTCTTTCAATTATATATAATGCGGGATCTATAAACGATGTTGCACGACGAATAATGGTAGGTCGACATGTCTTGGGGTAACTCGTCTTTGAATGATCCAAAAGATTGTTTTTAAAATGTTGTCTATCTTACTCGATCTAAATGATGTTGATTGTTGCTTTTTTAACTAACACATCAATCCGTTGTAAGTGTTGACACATGACAGCCGGCTGAAATAGATGTTACCACTGACACAATTCAAAAATGTGAATGTTCTTCACTACATCTACTGCCTCTGCCCTGTGCTATGTGCTCATATCTACTACATTTAATGATGAACCAAATTCTGCCAATTACTAGTAGGAATACATACCTAACTTATGTTATTTGAGAGATCAGTTGGTGGTATTGTCAAAAAGATGTATGATTTCAGGTGATCATTTATGTTTGGGATGCATGGTGATCATATAGTAAAATTGATTGACATACACTCAGTCAGTATTAAAATGTGACGCTAATGGAAACATAAGAACAACATTTCGCTGAAAGTTGAATTATTTGTGCAGTCAAATGGACCAGATCCTAAACTTAATATTGAAAAACATGATTTATAATGATCACATGTGATGACATTTTTTAATGAAATACATTTTATTTCTTTAACTCGATTTTTGGTAAGGCAGTGTAAAAGGCAAGTATAACTTATCAGTCTCTTCTCCCATCAGTATGACTCCATGATCACATTTGAGCAGTACATATTTTAATTTTAGTGAAATATTCTGGGGGTTGGGATGGGGATCATTTATAATCTTCTTTATAAAGATAAACTTCATTGAAAACCTTAAAATTACATTTCCACTTAAAAGAACATATAAATCATTTCATTCACTAATCCAGTTCTTTATGGGACAATGCATAGTCAATGACAATGGGAAAAGGAGTATTGTGTATGAAAATTTTGCATTATGTACGTGTCTGTTTTGTGTATTAGCCTACTATTGCTGGTTGTAATTAGTTGTGGCTGGCCATAGGGTAAGAATACTTCAGCTGAAACCTGACAATTGATCTTAGATATGAATGCACACGTTCTCCCACACCTTCCCTCTATTGCTGTACGACCTTAGTTATACATTATGAATTTTCCAGCTACAGTGCATAATCTGCATATAGATAGCTGCACAGTTATAATTATTACTCCACCGGATACATAATGCAGGTCAGGGTGTGCAGTGTTTTATATTTTGAGTGCTAGCCAACAAGCAGATGTTTCAAAATTCCAAGCTATATAGTCAAATGAAAATTTTTCATTAGACTTAGCATAAGATCCACCAGGCTATTGCAATTTGTACATCCCTGATATTATTTCATCATATTTTACTTTTGTATATTTTTTTTTAATATTCAATTGTATACATGCTATTGAGATATATATATGTGTACAGTTAAGTTTAAGTTACAGCCAAAATGAGGTGGTTTGTACTACAATACATATAAAAGTGTATATAAAGAAATGTAAATGTGTAACGGTGTATTAGTGTAGCTGCGTCCAAGTGACAGTGTCATGTTTTTTCCAGGCAGCCTGTATAATTACGTACTGAGATGTGACTGAACTCAATTTCCAACTGAATTTGGGCATGTATTTTTCCAGAACTGACTATTATTCCCTGAAAGATTGTTTGAGATTTATGGAAACATTTAAGAATATCTCTGAATCTGATGGAATTGGAGCTAGACAGCCATGTTAATACTGCACAACCCAATTTATCTAAATGAGCGATTGACTGCTGTTGCACACATTCTTCTTGATTTATAAAAAAAAAATGATTCCTGAAACATCCCGCAAAAAATCCTACTAACTGTCACAGTATTGCTAGCCAGAAATGAAAATACAGTTTATTTGTCTGTAGTACTATATATATGCAAGTCCTAGAATATATGTTTCTGATGTTTAATCCTCCATACTGTGATGTGTACATTGCAAAGTTAGAACTTGAGTAGTATGATTACAAGGGGCTCTGCATAAATATTCTATGAAGCATTTGGCACTTTTGGCCAAAAAAATAACAACATGTGTTTCAGGTATCAGAACCCACCCTAGATTTTAATGCCGACCCTAGATGTTTTATCACCTACTTGTATCTAGAAGATTAATTCATTAGCCAGGCAATCATTAGTCTGCATGACCTTATTCTTATGTATGTTGGGGGCAATACCCTGTCATAGTTCTCGAATCTGTGTCATTGTATTTAGACTCTCTGTCTACTCTCTGAGGTAACTTCAAACTTTTCAGACTTTATTTTAACTTATATAATATATGTAGCTTACAAGTACTATACGTTGTGTAGCTAGCTATATAGGCTGCCTGCTGTGCAAACCCCAAAGGGTGGAAAAATATTCCCTTTCCTACATGTATGATACTAGTGTTCATTATGATTATATATCTTGGTTTATAAGCTCAAAACAATATGTTGTTGTATATATCCAGGTTTCGTCAGTATATGGTTTGGGTTGAAACATCAGCAGGGCTAACATTTAGTCTGATATTAGTCATTGATGGAACTTGACAAATCTATTTTTGACCAGGGTGATCTTGACCCATTGGAAGAGCAGGGATGGAAAATGATCCAGCTTAGGTCTGGAAAAAATGATACTTGTGTGTATTGTTTGACCCAATCTTCCCCATATTCCAAGCGTCTACTCTTTCAAATGGTTTCAAGTTATAAAGAAGAACAGGTTAATTAGAACTGGATCATGTTGAAAGATAATTAACCTTTCTCAACATAGTTTTAGGGAAATGTGAAGCTGGTTTGCAAGAATATTTTTTGCCATATATTGGTAACTACAATAATGTACAATTAATGATGTAGGGTTTCTGTACTTGATTACTGTACATTCATGTTGCGGGTGCTGAATTTATCTACATTTTACTCTAAAGTTCCAGATAATTGCTTTGTTAAGATGAAATTGTCTCTTCCATATATTCGGCAAGCAAAAATTGTTTTGTCCATATCTGGGAAACATTCCGATGTACATACTTTATAGATTATATTTGTATTTTGCACCAATGCTGCACTTAGACTAGCTAAAGGATGTTCAAAATGACCTGCACAGACAGTATTCAGTACTGTATTTACAAAACCAGTTTTGTCAGAAAATAATTAACCAATGCAAATTATACATGCACCCTACAGTTTATTGTATGTAAATTTAGATGGCTTTTATTCAACAATTGCAGTTTGTAAAATAATATTTAATTCGATGTCCCATTCACTGATTCAGCTGCTTTAGATACGATAACAAGAAACTGTTTAGTAGAATACTTTCTAAATGAATACAGACCGAGTGATTATCATTTTACATGTTGAAGTCATTTGACATTGCAAGGTCAATAGAAGCGGTGTAGATTTTGCCAGTTTTTGGGGCCAAATTTTTACCTTGTTTCAATTGCGTGACATATAGTTTTATCTTTGTTTGTGCATGTGTACATCCGTATGTCCAGATGATTTAACTTTTGGGTTTAGGTCAGATACATTGACCAAGTACAGCATTGAGGGTCATGCAAATTCACCTGCTTGTATATGTTCCCCTATGAGTAGAAAATTCTTCTCAACATTTGTGTGACCTTGACTTTAGTGACCTTGCTTTAATTTGTAAGGGTGGGAGCAGTGCATCCATCTTGCAGATGCATGCTCGTGGTCATAAAATTGTCATCAAAACAAGCAACATGCTTCATTTATTCAGGGATTTACCATTCCATGCTAGCCCAACATACCAGATAAAATGTACTAGCCCTTGATTTTGGCCAACAGTCTGTTGATTGTTAACAGTAGTGTAGTAAACGATCAGATTGATGTTGTGTGTGTAACAGGCCAGTTGCTGGAAGTGTGTGTTAGGTAGTCTAATTAACAGACCCACCCTGATATTATGATGAAGTGGAAAATATATCATAAATAAATAAAATTAACATAAAAAAATCATCCCTATGACGCTTTATAGTACAGACTATTGTTTACCTGTAATCAAACACTATTGTTCTCTTAACTGATACCTAGTTTCACCTAGCATACACCCAACGCCTAACCTGTATATATAGGAAAATATCAAATGTATGCTAGACCAGACGACACCTAATTAACAGCCCCAGATAAACTGGACCAGCACAGGTGTAAGGTAGTGTACGTAATCAACAGCAACTATAGTCACTGAACCAGCACAGGTGTTAGGTAGTCTAATGTACAGGTGTAAGGTAGTCTGATTAACAGCCCCAACGACACTGGACCAGCACATGTGTCAGGACAACTAATTAATAGCCACAGAGTCACTGGACCAGCACAGGTGTTATGTAGTCTAATAAACAGCCCTCAGAGTCACTGGACCAGCACAGTTGTTAGGAAGTCTAATGAACAGTCCTAAAGTCACTGGACCAGCACAGGTGAGGTGACATGAACTACTCTATGTCCAAAAAACAGTCTTCCCACAGTCCCACTATCAACTGTAGCCATTTGTTGATTTGAGAAATAAGTTTTGCTGAGAACTGCGTGGCCTAGTAACATTCCATTTCTCTGTAGTGGACTATTGAACCTAGCCAACATGGTCAATGGATAATTTACCGTGATATACTTAGTGTATGGACTTGGTTCCTGCAAAAAACAGGAAAGATTAATTATTCATAGTGATACATTTGTTTTTGCAAAATTTTCTAAATTCAATAATGAATAAAATGATAAAAGATTGCTGATATTGTAATAACTAACAAAGTGCTCTCCCTCCAGTTCAAGATAAACCTGAATGCATAAACTTGATGTTAAAAATATTGTAGACTCAGTAGAACAACATCACATACAAATGATATAGAAATTTGATTTTGAATAAAACAAACTTTGCATTTTGTAATTTTGATGAAGTACTGTATCTATTTCCCCTTGCAACATCATCTTATCTTTTACTCTCCTTAATGTCTATAAGTATATAAAGATAACCTATGTTTGCTTTATCATTATTAAAAAAAAACATCAATGATTGTTCAGAGGTTAAATTCACATCAAAATATGCCCGAAAAATCACATGGGACGAAACAATTTTTTTCTGGTCTTGTCATACTTTTGTGTATGTAACTAAATTTAGAATCACAAAACCCACCAATTCCTCTCTTCTTTAAGGTTGGGTTGGTCAAGTTTCTTAAAATCAAAAATATTGATAAAATGGGAATAGAGTATTTTATAATATAAGACATTTTTCAAACATTTTTAGTAGAATCCAATTTGAATGCATTGTCCATGCATAATAAATTTGTAGAGGAAATATTTTTGTTGAATATAATAAGCCTCGCATCTATTAGACAAGCCAAAAGTGTATGAGAGAAGTTGTAGTCTTTATGTAGGGCCTAGTTTATCTGGGTCAGAAAAACATAAACCACATAGTGCAAGGCTAGGCTCACCAGCTTACAACTACTCCACTGTACTGTGTAAGAGATAAGTTTGTTGATGAGCACACCAGCTTATGTGACCACTTCACTGTACTGTGTATGAAATAATTTTGTTTATGAGGAGCAGAGCTAAGCACACCAGCTTTGTGACCACTCCACTGTATATTGTGCAAGATACATATATATATATGTAAGTGTGATTATAATGATGAGTCGAGCTAAGCACACCAGCTCAGGATAAGTTTGATTATGAGGAGTAGAGCTAAGCACACCAGCCTGCAACCATATAGTTAACTTAACTGGCTCTAGTTTAGTGGAATACACTCGAAACAATTATGAAACAAACAAAAATTCATGAAAACTGTTTTATTATTCATTTTGAGGAAAACATTGCCATCAATTCAGACGTTTTTTCAGACTTTAAGTTAAGCTAGTGATAATAACTGAAACTCTAGCTAAAACCATGTACTTTGTTCAAGTTTACTAAAGAAAATAAAAATGTAAATAAAAAAATAAAAATAAATTCATCACTTACTGCACAGAAAAAAGTAACTCCTAGAATATTTCATGAAATATGTTAATTAATTATTTTATTTTATTATATATATATACTATGCATTTTATTGGGAGAGTAGGACTTAAATTCGGGCAATTGCTTTGATTTTTTTTTTACACTTCTGGGGTTAGAAGTTTTGGTGCAATCTTTTGTACTTGAGAAGGTTTATATTTAACATGGAGAACATTTTCATCATCCCTAGGGGTCAAACTTGTGCAGTCAAAACAAGGGGAAAGTTGCTTTTTTATACAACCGTCAAATTTGACGGTCGTATTATTATACGACCGTCAAAGTTGACGGTAGTATTATGGTATGGCGTTGTCCGTCCGACGTAAACTTTGTTTGTCCGGCAATCTCCTCCTACATTTCTCGACCGATCTATTTGAAACTTTGTATACATTATAATCATGATATGAAGTTGTGTCTCCCTTAAAAGAATTTTGGTTTCGACAATTTTTGCAAAAGAAATTGCCCTTTGTTCATTTCAGTATTTGAATTTTGTCCGGAGATCTCCTCCTACATTTTTCGACCGATCTCTTTGAAACTTGGTATACATGATAATCATGATATGAAGTTTTGTCTCCCTTAAAAGAATTTTGATTCGACAATTTTTGCAAAAGAAATTGCCCTTTGTTCATTTCAGTATTTGATTTTTGTCCGGCAATCTCCTCCTACATTTTTCAACGAATCTATTTGAAACTTGGTATACTTTATAATCATGATATGAAGTTTTGTCTCCCTTAAAAGAATTTTGATTAGACGATTTTTGCAAAATTTATTGCCTTTTGTTCATTTCAGTATTTGATTTTTGTCCGAAGATTTTCTCCTACATTTTTTTTAACATATCAGCTAACCACTCTTAGAATGATGCAGATCTCATTTCAATGTAAGAAAGTATATAACACTATATGGCATACGACGGGCGTATTTTGTTCCGCCCCACGGCACTCTTGTTATATTTGACGGTAGTATTATGGTAAGGGGTTGTACCGCCGGCCGGCATAAACTTTTGTTTGTCCGGCAATCTCCTCCTACATTTTTCAACCAATCTCTTTGAAACTTAATGTACATTATAATCATGATATGCAGTTGTGTCTCCCTTAAATAATTTTTTTCCAAAAGTTATTGCCCTTGGTTAATTTCAGTATTTGATTTTTTGTCCGGAGATCTCCTTCTACATTTTTTGACCGATTTCTTTGAAAACTTAGTAGGCTAAATAATCATGATATGTTGTTGTGTTTCCATGAAAAGAATTTTGATTCAACAATTTTTGCAAAAGTTATTGCCCTTTATTTATTTTGTTATTTGATTTTTGAACGGCAATCTCCTCCTACATTTTTCAACGGATCTCTTTGAAACTTGGTATACATTATCATCACGATATGAAGTTGTGTCCCCCTTAAAAGAATTTTGATTCAACTATATTTGCAAAAGTTATTGCCCTTTGTTCATTTCATAACAATAACACTATGGCATTCGATGGGCATATACATGTATTGTTCCGCCCCTCAGTACTCTTGTTGTAAATGTTAAATATCTTTTAGACTATTTTCACTAACATCGAGATCAGCCATTGGAAACCAAATTTGCATACCATTGTATTGTTACATTGGAGAAATAGTGAATAGATTTGACGGATTTGAACATCAACCTGTTATTCATGTCTTTGGAGGACTATGATCGCTGTGAACCCTTGCCAACGCTGATTCTGTGACAGGATTCTCGGCATTTTGTCTGACAGAATTTTAGAGAGCGCCATATGGGAGATGCAATATTGTGGCCTTGGAACTGAATAAATGTACTCTCTCTTGATGACTTGAGAATACATATAATTATGAGTGGTCGTTCAAGGACAACTTCCATAACCGATGCTAGAAAAAGTGGTGCTCATGCCTCATTTGGAGGGGTGAAAACGGGGTTCAGTAGCCATCATAAATGAGAATTAACCACTTCCTTCTATTGAATTCTTTAATCTTAAGGATGACTGCTACCTGCAACGTACAAACATAATATAATGATGAGTTAATTTAGGTTGAAGTTTTTGCATACCTTTTAAGTGTTGACATTCACTATATTTAACATGAAAAAGTGGAATAAACAACACAATTATCCATGAAGGAGATCCAACGTCCTACGGGCAATGAATGGTCTGTAGTCTGTCTAGTACAGGAATCCAAGGTGGATATTAAACTTGAGTATTTGACTAGGATGCTGAAATTTTGTTGCACAATTTTTCAGAGTTTAAACTATTTTTGACTTTTTATTGTCGAAATCTCCAGATAAAAAGCTTCATGCTATTGACAAAAAGCACATTTTAGCTCACATGCTCCAAACCAAAGGACAGATGAGGTAATATTATACCGGTGCATGGGGTCGTCCGTCATCCATCCCTCAACTTTTCCTTTTAAATGTTATAAATACTAATCCTGAACAGCTTAGTGGATTTTGACAAAATTTGGCCTGGTAAAGGACATACTTGGGCAAAATATATTTGTATAACAGTTGGTGTGGCCCGTCTAGCCCCGAGTGGCGTGACCCAATGGGGTTAAATCTGTAAAATCCCCTTTCCTTACAAATGGAGGATTTTAATTAAAATTTTGTGTAAAGCATCTCTGGGGAAGGGGACTCGATTTTGTACAAATGGATAGTGTGTACCCCCTCCCCTGGCAGAGGGGTACGGTCCAAATAGGGGGAATGTAGGGATATTTTGATGTTTTAAATCCTTCTCCTTCCATACAAATAGAAGGATTTTAACCAAATTTGGTGTAGAGCATCCTCGGGCAATGTGGAATCACTTTTGTATAAACAGAGGAACCTCCTGAGAGCAAAGGGGCAGGGCCCAATAGGTGAAATTGAGGTAAATGTTTAAAATCCATTCAACTTCACGGGGACAGAAAGAATGGACACGATGAAGGATGAGTGTTGCTGAAAGATTGAGCCCATATTTGGAAATAGTTGTAGTATCTATATTTTATGAGAAAATTTTCCCATGGTTGCTTATGATTCAAGTGAGCGATGCAGGCCCTCTGGGCCTCTTGAGAGCTATTCTCCAATTGCTTTTATTTTAAACTTGCCATGAATTGAAGTATGAAATTCTAGAGATGGTTGATAAATTGGAAGCTTGTGTTTTAATAATTTTATTTTTTCATTGCAGATGTAACAATAACTGGATGCTGTCAGCGACTTTACTTAATTGGATTGGGATGATTACTGCAGCATGTAGAGAATTTAATTCCATAACATCTATATGAGATCAGCGCTGAGACCAACAACCAGAGCGACTCTGCCACCGCCAGATCAAGGCAGTGGTGTTGTCATCACCCTTGAACAGGTGCGGCCGCACCCAAGACAGCAGAATGAGTATGTAGACTCACCCCGGGGGCAACCCCTGGGGAGCCTCAAGGCACCTGCCTCCCAGGGCACTGTTATCATTGGAGGAGGGACCAGAGACAGTCCACACTCAAGGGTTATTTTACCTGGGCGAGGTGTGAGGGCGCTTAGTACCGTCATCTCCACACAGCCACCTGTGTCAATATCTCCTCCACTAAAGAAGGACCCATTGATCGAGGAGGACGATGACTCAATTATTTGTCGAAAATGTGGCAAGTGCAAGTGTGGTGCATGCACGGAGCCGCGGGAGCTGCCGTCAAGGTGGTTATTTGGCGACAAATGCCAGATTAGTGCGGATGAGGTGGTGGAAACGTGCACCTGCTTCTGTTGTGTTAAGGGTGTGTTCTATCACTGCGGAAAAGATGAGCAGGACTCGGACTATGTGTGTGACACAGACCCGTGTGCGTCGTGTAGTAAACCACACTGTTGTGAACGATGGACATGTATGGCAATGATGTCGCTGTGTCTGCCCTGTCTGTGTCTGTATTGGCCGGCCAAGGGTGTGCTCAAGGCATGTACTGTATGTTACAACAAGTGTCGTAAAAAGGGCTGCCAATGTTCGTCCAAGGCCACTAAGCATAGTAACGAACAGAGCTCACAGTCACAGTCGAGACGTTTACTGATCGAGTCTGATTCGAGTACCGGTAGTTCGTGAGGATCGTTGGCATTTGTGATTGTTTTTTTTCTCGACTTATGTGTGATATAAAGTGTGTACAAACACTTACTAGTACCTGACGAGTCCCAGATTAACTGTGCCAGTGGTTATGATGATTGTGTAATATTGTTACTTGTCTGTTAAGTCTTGCACCCATTGGAGGAAGGCTTATCGTATATATAACAATTGTTTTGACCATTTCTTTTTTCTTTCTTTTTTTTTCAAAATATTATATTGGATAAACTTCATACCATTCTGTACTGCATTCTGTGCCAATCGACAAATATTTTTTTGTTTTGCTTTTTCTGACATCTACATTTCTGTTTAAATTTCCGTCATACAGTGGATATCTGCTAGTTAGAACAAATGTTGCTTCATCTTCCGAGTGGTTACTCGTGGATAATTTGAAGATAAAAACGAGTGCTTTCATCTTGGTTCTTGTGGATTTCTATAGTGCTTCGTGTTATGAATAAATTTGAACTTTGGATTATGATGAAGTTCAACCTCCAAACGAATAATTAAACATATTTTGTGATCATTTAATGGAAGGCAAGTCAAGTCGCACCAAGAAGAATTGTTTGGACTTAATAATATAGTAGGTCATCGTCAAGAAAGTGGAATTTTAGCACTTTTCTAAGGATTGCATTAACTACCTCTTAAGAAAATATTGCACATTAGCATTGAATACAAGTACGATTTTCTTGGATTAATTCCTTATACCTTAGAACTAAGAATGCATGTATGTTTACACAACAATTTGATGTCATTTTAGATTTGAACTTATCGTTTTGGACCAATCAAATACTTTCTTGAGTAAAGCATTAGTTACTGGTTAGCTAATTAGACCGTAGCTAATGTGTAAATCATCAATACAGGAAGAATCGTGGTGAACAACCTACAAATAAATAGGGTATATACTTACCCCCGTTATGGTTTAAGCTTTTCTATGGAAATCTCCATGTAACTGGTTTATATTTTGGCTCCAATGTAAATTTCTAGATGGACACTCATAGTAATTATGATAGATCTTGAGAGAGTTTGCACTCTAAGTAAATGTATCAGTTGACATATCTTTATAATATATTTGATATAATAAATAAGGAAAACTGGGATTTTGCATTTGCATTCAGCCCTGCAGTAGTTTTTGCACCCAGGCACGTTACAGTTTACTAGACAACAAAATTAAACTGAATTCTTTGTTCCACCAGCACTACAGCATGCCTCGAGCAAAAAGCAGCGCATACAATCTAAAAATGAATCGGGAGTTTCATTGCTTTATCTTTTGCACCATAAATAATACCGACAGAATGTTGTTTTTGGGGAAAAAACTACGAATGAAGATGTTTCAGATTTATCAATTTCAAACCATTTAAATGTAAAACTGAAAAAGAAGTTATTTTACAATACCCGAAAAATGGAATTTGGGAACATAGAACGATGTTATTTTAAAATAGTCTTTTAACATTTAATGCAAACCATGAGATTTTGTGTTTTTGGTTTACCAGGATCTACTGGTGTATAGCTAAAGTAAGGAACTCCAGATGTGGTAGGCTGTGTGATACATGTACTAGGCCAAGTTAGAGAAGGGGGGTTACTTGGGGAGGTTCCATGTTATAAAACTGGCAAAAATTGACGTTTCATTTTTTAGATGTTAGCAAAAAATTATTTATTGGTTATCAAGTTTGCTTAAATCTCAACTTTACATCTTAACATTCTCTCCAAAATTGTTTATTTCATAAAATAAATATATGCATCATTCATGAGCTTGTCTTTTGAATCTTGAAAATTGTCTGCTGCAAGAATGACTAAGCAAATAGGTATTATGCCTGACTGAATCGTTAGAAAACACTATATCATTTTCATGATCAGATGTCGTCCTGAATTCGTTTCAGTCTTTCGAAATTGCAGTTTGCTATTTTCAAACATTCAATGGGTTGCATAGGTAATTACAACACAGTATATATATGTGTGTATATTTACGTATAAAATAGACTTTATTATTAACAATTTCAGTGCAATAGAAAAGAAGCTATTAAGAATTATTTTACCATTTTAACGTACATTTGTACATGTATAGTTCAACGCATTTGTATTTTATATGAAATCATCTCATGATAACAACATTACAATGTCCATATAGTAACAGGTCACCTCTAGATCCAAGACACTCTAATCACCTTTTTTAGATTTGATCAAAGATGAAAGTAAAAATGAAGGATTGTAATGAAATTCTTGCCAGCAACTAGTTACATATACAGTATACATAACATGTACAATACAAGATTTCACATATTTTAGTATTTTTACAGGAACCCAAAAAACAATCCAGATCACTTTTACACTTTTGGCTGCGACGGGAAAATAGCATGCATTTATGATAGTTAACTTCAAAGTTACTGTATAATGCTTGAGTTTCGCAGGATAAGAGTTTTGTTTCAGCAGCAGTTGAGCTTGGTTTAAATATCATGAAACACTGTTAATTAAAAGTCATTTATCTTGACTGAACGATTTTCAGAATAATGACAAATTTGTAGGGTTGAAATTTGGTGTATTTTTTCAGGCTGCAAATATAGCTGAAGTAATCATTTGCGAAAGTTCAGCATTATACGTAATATTGGACGGGTACTATACAACAAGTTGAAAGTGCAGACAGTTGAGAAGAATTTTTTTTTATCTGGTTAACTTTTTTATTAGGAATACCCCTTTCCAGAGTAACAGTGGAATTCAAGATTGTTTTCATGTTTTAAGCATTTTCATTTGGTATACATTTGTATTTGATGTTTTTCTTTCTCATAAATATGAACAGAGCATGTTCGGTTGTTTGTTGTATACTGTTAGTTAAAGATATTAAATATGGATAACGTACAATTATGTTAAAAGTTGTTATTTGAATTGTATAGATTCCAGAAAGTAAGGATGTAGTTATATACATGTACTGCAACCCTTGGAAAACTTGTGATTATCAAATTGTATGTATATAATTGTCATTTAAACAAAAGTGTACAGTCATTTTGTGTATATATAGGACAGTCATCTATATATAGAATTATATATATAAATTTTGTGTATACAGGCTAATGTAAATGGAATAATTTACAGTTGGCTTTAAATTTGTACACAAATTATCCTGTCAATTCTACTGTACAGTTTGAGCTACACAATCACAGTGTACGGATCAATTTTTAAACCTCCATGAACATTTTTTTTGTGTCAAATGTATTGATAATAAATACATTTTAAAAAATAACTACATTTTGATTAATCTTTTTAGAAATTTAACACATATATACGATTTTGATTTAAAGAAATTTGATTTCAAAGAAATATTACGGGTTGCGCAGACATTTTGTATCAAGGTTTTGCACTACTGAACCTAAATCTGGTTGTGACATTTCAAATGTTTCTGGTATAAGCAATATGTGTCCACTGGTCTTTTATGGTACAATAAGTGACTCCTGCCGCAGTATCTTAACCAAAAATATTATTACACCAACTCATTAATATGGGACTAATGAGCCAGTCCTGTCAAAGATACAGATAATTTAAAAAAAAAACGTATGAAGGAAAATGGCGACTACAACTACTTGTGGCTCTATACCTCATGATAGTGTCATCACTTTGCGTGCACATCTTGTAATCACTTTGTGTGTACACAAGTTGTGATGAATGGGTCACCTGTCAGCAAATGGTCCAATATCTAACCCTGGGTTTCTTGTATTTAATAACAATATTCAAAATCAAACTATGTAATTATATTTAAAAGATCAACATATTCATCAAATACGTCTACCTTCAATGTCCTAATGTTGGAAAAATGAAAAGATAAAATTTTTAGATTCATTGCACCGATTTCACCGATTTCACCAGTTATGTGGAGAACTTGGGGAAAAAAACCACTAATTGAAACCCCCTGGGGAGAGCCCCATTGTCAGTGACATTTTGCAGTGAGCAGAATTCCTGTATGAAATATGTTAGGAGAATGTAGACCAGGTTCCCATGAACTAGGCTTGTTCTACATCCCATAATGGTTGTAGTCAGATCAGTCACATCCTGTTGTGTGGAGAAGGGAGGAGGGCTGGGGAAACAAAGGACCTCTAATCAACCTGCTGGAGCCTGATTCTGGTTAGTCGGAGGATGGAGCCCGGCCCCAGCCCTCGATCATGTGTTGGAAAGAAGCAAATAGGCTAGGCCAGGAATCTGGAGAAATTACTGAAATATGTATGCTTGATGCTCCTACAGGGAGACTCGCAGACGGTACAATTGATTAGTTGTATCTTGTTATTCAGTGCACACCTGTGTAGGTGTTAAATTAAACATGGCTCATCTCATGTAAGAATTCTGCATAAAAAAAAAAAGGTGATATATTTCAGAAACTTTGTTGAAGGAAACTTGCATTACTTTAAACCTTTTTTTGCACTTTTCGTTGAAGTTTTTGTTTTTTCCTTCAACATTTGAATAGAAGTTCTGAAAAAAAATCTTAAATTTTGCATTATTATAAAAGTGTCTATACATATTTTTTACATTCTTTGGGATGTTTGATATCGGATATTCTGTTTCAAATCTGGCTTGAATATGTATGACTTTGTTAATGATACTGGCTATGAATTTACAAGAAACTCTTTGTTCATTCATTAAACATGAGATATCCTCAAGGTTGCCTGTCTAATTCAGATTCTCTCCCGTCTTGACGATGTTTAGGTATGAATGCAGTACTCTGTGCATTGCGTCTGTAAAACTAGATATGTGTTTAGGCTTATTACCTACTTGCACCACAAACAGTGAATCGACTTCTTGTCAGTAACTAACTAAAGATGTACTGGTAACACTAATAGACTTGATAATGGAGGAAACTTGGCATCTATCTACCTGTAGGAGCCGGTGAACTTAAGTTACATTTCTTTGTAGCATATTACATAGGAGATAATGAAGACAAGCTGGTACTACGCTGTATGTCAGTAGCTAGGTACAACATCTACATGTTGTTAGAGGTTATAACATGTGATCTCGGGTACAAGTGGAGGCCCTGTAACTATGAGTGGTAACAAACACATGGGTGCTGCACAGTGTTATGCAGGTGTGCATCACACAGGTGTTGTACACTGATTCAATCATTTGCTTTACTCCGGTGCACTCTTGCGTCATAGGTGAATAAACACCACACTGTTACATACGTTTCATACACTTGTGTTTCACACTGATGTACACATGTGCTTGACATTTACATACTTGTGTGCTTTATTCTGGTACGCCTGTGTTTCCAATGGATACACATACTTAACACAGAAACATG